TGTAGAAGAGAATGTACAAGTCTGTTTAAGATAACCATCTGGATACCAGAAAATTTGAGACCATCTAGTTAAACAGGTAGATTTTAGTTTAGTTTTTGTTTCTCAAATGAGTGACTGAGCTTAAGGGCTGAGCTATTGAAAACTATTTGACTGCTGAAGTTTTTAAATTTACCCTCAGTCAATTTGGAGCTTGTTGTCATAATTTTCATTACTGGTGGTCTGATGTGTACCATCCCCGGTGAGATGGATTGAGGTGTGATGGCGAGGCGTTGAGATTTTGGGATCAGATTCAATTCCTCATCTGGATTGGGGTTCCACATAAGTTTTAACAGCCTTAGCAGGAATCCATAGCAGGCCTGTGGGTGAGAGAACAGATGCATACCCTCTCCCCCATGTTAACAATTCGATAGGTCCCAACCATTGTGGTCCCATTGGCAGGTGGCAGAATAAAACCAAGGGTCTAGGTCTCTTTTTAGGAGGCATAAAGTGTCATTCTGTGGCTGTTAATTTGGAGGAATTACAGTTTTAAAAAGTTAATGTAAACAGAGCTTTAAAGACCTGTTCATGAGAGGTCAGTCCTATATCTATATTATGCCTCCTTTGTTTAGTTATGTGACCAGTGGGGTTAAATGGGATTCCTGTGACATACTTAATGTTCCAGTTGTCACAGAATACTTGAAAGAATTTGGAGCTGTATGCCAGTGCATTATCTGTCTTAATTTGATTTGGAATACACATGGTGGCAAAGGCAGAAAGACAATTTTTAAAAATATGTTTAGTAGTTTTTCCTGTTTGGGCTGTGGCATGAATAAGACCAGAGTAAGTATCAACAGCAACATGTAAATATTTAAGACGTCCAAAAGTGGAATAATGAGTAACTTCCATTTGTCAAATTTCATTACCTTCTATTCCTCGAGGATTAACTCCTCCAGGGAAATCAGATTTAGAAAACCTCTGACAATCGGGACAAGCATGAACAATATCTTGAGTGTGCCTGTAAGAGATCTGATGTGTTAGCCAAAGCTTGTGCACCCTGATGAAAAAACTGATGAGAATCAATAGCTTTCTATAAGACATTATTATACATAACAAAGTGATCAGCCATATCATTTCCAATTGATAAAGGGCCAGGAAGACCAGAATGAGAACACATGTGAGTTACATAGAAAAGATGATGTCTTTTTTGAATAAGTTTTTGTAAATGTCAAAACATTGCAAACAAAAGAAAATCATTTCCCTCATGGATAGATACAGCTTGAATTATCTGTAAGACTCTAACTACATAGGCAGAGTCAGCTACTAAATTAAGTGGCTGAGTGTAAAAACATTGTAAAGCTACAATGGCAATTGCCAATTCCATGATCTGCCAGAACCATAAATAAACACAGTTAGTGCTTGAGGATTTTAATAAACAGGATTTTAATTGTATAGGCAATATTTCAAGTCCTTGTGAAATTTTATCATGGGGTAATGAGAATTGTATCTTACCAACAAAACCAGCCATAGTTTTCTGTAAAGACTCTGATTGTTCAAGGGCAGCATAAAAATCAGTTTTAGAAAGACCAGGATTAATAATATCAGGATCATACCCAGTAAGTACTTGACAACAGTGTCTTCCCCTAGTGAGTAAATGAATATGTTGTTCTAATTTAGTATATAATTTTTTTGTTGTTGTTGATGGGGTAAGAAAACCCATTCAAGGACTCCTATTTGACAAAGAAATTGGCAAAGCAAACCTGTGGGACTATGAGGGGTGCTTAAAATAATGAAATGACTTGAGATTTAACAATATGTGTTAATTGTCTGGAACATAAAAAGGATTCAATCTGTTTTAATTCTAATTTTGCTTCTTCAGATAAGTAAGGAGGGGAAGACAGATCAGGGTCTCCCTTCAAGGTATTAAACAGATGTTATAATTGATAAGTAGGAATGCCCATAGAAGGGTGGAGCCAGTTAATGTGGCCAAGTAATTTCTGTAAGTTACTTAGAGTAAAAGGCTCCTGGATATGGAGAGAGATGTTTTGTGGCCGTATACTTCTCTGAGTGATTTAAAGACCAAGGTATTTCCAAGGCTCCTTTATTTAAATTTTATCTGGAGCTACTTGTAAATCAGCATTATTAACTTGTTTGATTAAATGTAAATAAACTTGTGATAGCAGTTCTGGATTGTCATGAGCCTTGTCAATTTGTCCAGTTATAGCATCTTGAAGATGGTTAATAAAATCTATATAAGGCACAGTGGGTCCCTGTCCAACAGTAGCAAAAGATTTAGTGGGGGTATTCCAGGGACTATGCCATGACTCTAAATGTCTCATTTGTAACTGTTGTTTAACAAGTAGCTTAGCTTGATTTAATTTCTCCCCTTTAAGAGGCCACTGTTCCACCCAAACTGGAGGACCAGTGGTCCATTGTAATTTGAATGGTGGGAACGTGGCCATGGCCATCATGATAAATTCTGAAGGAGATGTCCCAATAGAAATATCACATTGAGCAGGGAGGTCTTGGCCCCCTAGAGTTTGAGGTAGATCTGGAACATAAGGCATAATGGAGGAAGTTTGTCCCTCGGAGCCAGTACACAGCAAAGGATTTTTACTTAGATAAGGGATTTTGAACCTGCCTAATCCAGTAAGTGTAACTGGTGTGAAGTTACTTTCCATAATGAAGTCAAATCCTTTTTAGCAATTATGGTAACATCAGCCCCCAAATCTGTAATTAATTTTTGTTCAACAGATAATGTCAACAGTGGCTGAGTCTTATCTAATCTTTGTATCCAAAACACATCAGGGGAAGCAAGAGGTTGAAGTTTAGATCTTGTCTCAGGAATTTTGGCCCAAGCCTTTACGGCTGCTCTAGTTGTTTGGTCAAGTAACATGTCCATACTAATTTGAACCTCATTTTATAAATTTTTGAGTGAAATAGCATGTAAGGCTTCCTGATATTCTTGTAGCCATACAGTATATTGAGCAGGAGTGAAAACAGTTTTTCAAAGTGTTTTCCAATCCCAAGGGGTCATATTATACCCATTAGCAATTGATTCTAAGTATTCTTTAGTAAAAGTACTATGTAAGCCATTTTCTGTTATGCTCTTCTTAAATCTTTCAAACAAGGAGAATGAGAGGTTTTCATGTCTTGACTGAGTCCCAGTTCTTACAATGGGAAAGATATGATGAGCATCAACTCCCATGTTATGTCCTTCTTTAAGACAACACTCCATCAAGAGAACAAATGAATTGTTTGACTCCAAAGGTGGAGGTAGGGGGACAGGAGGAGGAGGTGGCAAGGATTGTTTTTCATCCTCTTTAATGGCATAAACACGTTTTTTCCTTTTGTTAAGGTCCTGAATAATTTTTAAAGCAATTTGAAAAAATTTCTAAACCACTATAATCAATAAAATTTAGTTAGATGATGGTTAGTTACTTTAAAACTACTGCCTTAAGGAGACATAGAAGTAATGAACTATGTTGAACTTCCCTCTTAGACAGTAAACTACCTATAACTCGCAAGAATAGATAGAAAAATTGAGAAAGAAAGCAAAACTTCCAGGTAAAGCCCTAGCTAGAAACTGCAGCAGGCATGCAATCACTTAATTGAAAGCCACCTCTGTGATTCCCCCTTACTGGCGTGAGTACCCCTTACTGGGATTTCCCTCTTGACAGGATGAGTAGACGTCCTGTTTCTTTTCTAGGCATGCTCTTTCTTTTCCCCCTTTCATTGGGGCCTCCCTTTTGTTGGGAACTCCCTTTGGTCGGTATGAGTGGCAGAAGTCCTGTTTCGTTTCCTTTCCAAGTCTTGGCAGGTCAGTCTCTGACCCTTGGACCCAGAATTCATCACATCGGGGCCACCATTTCTTGCTTTGCCTCCCACGGATTCATCACCCCTTTTCCCCTGGTTGATGGAGCTGCCAAAGATTACTCAAAGCTCATCTCTTCTGAGCAGTGAGAAGCCCCAAAAAGGGGTTAATCTCTCAGAACCTTCAAGAGAGAGGCATTCCTTCCATCTGGGAAATTAACAACAAATTGGGGTTCTCTTCCCACATTTACTCTCCAGACCAGGAAGTTACAGGAAGAGAACACAGGTGGCATTTTTTTCTAAGTACAGTTTAACAAGTTTAACAATAGAAGCTGGTAACATTAAGTATGAAAAGCAAGGTGACATTCTATAATGCAATTTTTCAAGAAGTTAAGTTGATCCACCAACAAAAGGTTGATCTTAGCAAGCATTCTCTTCTTACAGCAATTTCCCAGTATATTTACATATCAGTCAATAACCTGTCTGTCTTTGAGCCAGCAACCTTGCCATGTTACAATTCTTTATCTAACAACAGAGACTATAGCCTGGGGAAAATTTCCTGTCCTTTGCAAGGTCAATATTGAAACTGAAAGGCTTTGGAAAACCAGGCCCTGTGAAGTACATTTGCTTTATGCATAGTCCACACACTCAAGTTAGAAAAAGACTAAAAAACACTCATTGGATTTGACTATAATTTAGGTTATAATTCTACATTTTGCCTACGAATCTAATAGTCTTCCAAAGCCATCTGGAACTAGATTTATATTAAAACCTTTATAAAAAGCTTACTAAGCAATTTATGCCTTAGAACTAGATAACTATTTCCACTGCAGAAAGTAAGAAATGTTTATTTCCAAGTCAGCAGTGAAAAACTTTCTAATATCGATGGTGTTGCACAATTTGTTGTCACCAAGTCTTCACATTCCAAGAGAATTTGGCAGATTCTCTTCTGAACTTCCATTCCAACCATGTAAACAAGGTGTCTGCTTTTTTTCCCTGACATCACAAAGACCAGAGAAAATTTTGTTTTCAACTTAGATGACTGTGAGGTCTTACAAACTGCTATATCTACATGCCAACTTTACCTTATGAATTTACATTTCTTTTGAGTTGAGTTTTACTCATTTATAATTTTCAATTTTAACTTATGCATGTCATAATGCTCACAAAAATTTTTTTTAAACTGAGTAATAAATAACCAAAAAACTCACCAGGGATTTATTCATCTTTTGTTGCTCTTGTAAACCCATAGTGCACTCTGGCAGCATAGCTGGGAGAAAAGAGATTGGAGTGGATTAAGGAGAGAACTGTTGTGGCTTGGCTCTACATTCTCTTTCCCAAAACTCTCTACTTATTGGCTGAAGAGGACAAACAAACAAAAAGCCTTCCTGTGAGGGCTGGCCCAGTGGCGCACTGGAGAGTGCGCCGCTTGAGAGCGCAGCGGCGCTCCTGCCGAGGGTTCGGATCCCATGTGGAGACCGGTTCCCGCTCACTGACTGAGCGCGGTGCGGCCGCAACACCGAGGGTTGCGATCCCGTTGCCGGTCCCCGGTATGGGCACGACACCGAGGGTTGCGATCCTGTTACTGGTCAGTAAAAAAGACAAAAAGGAAAAAAAAAAGCCTTCCTGTGAGAGAACAGTCCTTCATGCCTCAATAAGGGGCAACAAGGACTCCATTAAAGATATAGCTACAAGTACATTAATAGCTACACATTACACATACAATTTATTTTGGAGTCAATGAAAACATACATAGCCTACTGACTTAGCATGAGTCAATATGCCTAAACGTATAACAATACCTTAAACCAAAGGAAAACACATTGTGACATTACTAGAATTAGTGTTGTAGAAGTCATTTGGCTATGTTAAGTGGTACCCTATTAATATATTAAGTTCACGTGACTCCAAAAAAGTGCTTCCATTACAACACATCTTCCTTTTATGTACCTAAATATCTGGATAGTGTGCATCTTGTAACCCAGCACATGTTGCCCATGATTATATAGGTAAACAAAATACACACAATGTATATTTCTGCTGTTACACTGATCTCCCTGTACCGAAGCCCTCATATATCATGCTCTGACAATAAACTAGTCTTTGTCATGTGACCTGCTTTGGACACTGGCACACTAGAAAATGTCATGCAAACATAGGTTTGAAAAGTACTGGCCATTGGTGCTTGCCTCTTAATCACAGTCATACTGTGAAGAAGGCTGGGGAAGACACAGGGCCCAGCCAAGGGTCAGCACAAACCACAGGACATGTGAGTGAAGCCAGCTTTAATCGAACAGGCTCAGTTAAGATACCAGGTGACGGGCTGAGCCCGTGGAGCACTCGGGAGAGTGTGGCGCTGGGAGCGCAGCAGCGCTCCTGTCACGGGTTCGGATCCTATATAGGGATGACCGGTGCGCTCATAGTGCTCACTGGCTGAGTGTGGTCCGGCCGGTCTCAAAAAGGACAAGAAAAAAAAAAAGATACCAGGTGACTAAATCCACATTTGTAATAAAGGGAACACTAGAATGAGAACTGCCCAGCTAAATGCACCCCAAGATGTGGATCCATAGAACTTCAAAAAAAAAAAGATGGCTGTTTTTTTTAAGCCATTGGGGTTTGACTTGTTTCTTACACAGCAAATACTGAATGATACATCTAAGTCACCAAAACTCAAAACATATTTAACAAAATAATGTGGGGGAGAAAGTCTTAAATTACAAGTCAAATACATTAAATATACCTTCACAACCACAGGTAGAAATTTTGAACAATCACAATGAATGCTAACCACATGTATTTCAGTGAAGTTTCTAGCCCTAACAGAGGCTATAGGATTCATAAAAAAAAAATTATTTGCACATCAGTAAACTAAGTTGTAACTTTTGTTTTGTATTGTGTTGCTTTGCCTCTCATGGATTTGTCACCCCACTTCCCCTGGGTGATGGAGCCACAAAAGATTACTCAAAGCCCATCTCTTCTGAGCAGTGAGAAGCCCCAAAGGGGTTAATCTCCCAGAACCCTGAAGAGAGAGGCATTCCTTCCTTTTGAGAAATTAACCATGAACTGGGGTTCTCACCCCACATTTATTCTCCAGACCAGGAAGGTACAGAAAGAACATAGCTGGGGTAATAGTTTAACAATAGAGGCTGGTTACATTCAGTAAAACAAGCAAGGTGACATTCCATAATGCGATATACAAGAGGTTAAGTTGATCCACCAACAAAAGCTTGATCTCAGCAAACATTCTCTCTCCCTACAGAAATTCCCCAGTATCTTTACATATAAATCAGTAATTTGTCTGTCCTTGAGCCAGCAGCCTTGCTGTGCTACAATTCTTTATCTTATAACAGATACTTTTAGCCTATGGAAAATTTCCTGTCTTTTGCAAGGTTAACATTTTTATATGTACTTTTAAGAAGTTAGGCTAAACCTGAAACTACAAGAAACTAGGCCCTGTGAAATATATTTGCTTTATAGGATACCACATAGTATTGTTTTTTACATCACATACAAAGTGTTTACTTTAAAAACATACAACATAAAAAGAGTGATCCTTATATGTAAGTAACATACTGTACCAGGGTACTTTCAAAAGTTTGGGGAAAAATAGAATGAAAAGAGAATAAAAATCCTTTCATAAACTTTTTGAAGCACACTAGCATTTTAATTACATTGAAGAAATTGGTTTTGAGTAGAAGGGAAAGGCAGTCTAATTTTCCCGTTTTAAATAATGTAAAATTGCCTCCAATATATTCCTGCAAAAGTTCTGATTTTATTTATTTATTTTTTTTCCTTTTTGTCTTTTTTCGTGTCCGGCAATGGATCGCAACCCTCAGTGTCGCGCCCGTACCGGACCGGGACCGGCAACGGGATCGCAACCCTCGGTGTTGCTCCTGCACCTCACTCAGCCAGTGAGCGGGAACCAGTCTGTATGTGGGATCCGAACCCTCGGTGGGAGCGCCACCGCGCTCCCAAGCGGCGCACTGTAGCAGTGCACCACCGAGCCGGCCCCAAAAGTTCTGATTTTAAAGAATAGGTTACTGACATTAAGTGGGAAATAATTATATTACTTACCCTTTGAGGTAACATAATCCAAAGAAAGTACTGGAGTTAAAAAAGGACAGACATGTTTAAGGCAATGTATGTTAAAGCAATGTTTGCTCTAAGTTGACTTCAGCATTACAAAAATAATCTCAAAAATGAACACTTGCTTTGACTTAAATGTGGCAAAATGGAAACCGCTAGTAAAAAATTCAGGATGTCTAACATCAACAAATAATGAGACCCTGGGCAAGTCACATTTCCTCATAACCAATTAAATTTTTCACTTTTCTTACAAGGTAGAAATATGGGGAAAACCATTTCTGAATGAATGACGAGAAAAGAACTATGAAGACAGAGAACCATCAGCACATCTCTAGATGCCAAATTTGGTGATAGGCTGGGTTTCAGAGCTCAGACACTGGGAACAGTGAGGGAAAATTGAAAGAATGGGCATCTGTTCAGAGAGCACTATAGACAGATCCTCTCAGCTGTGACAGGTTATTCCTGCACCCCGCAGAACACCTTCGATCCCTCAATAAGTAACACCTCCTGGGTCCTTGCCTCTCCTTCTCAGTCTGATTCACTTCTCCCTTCTGAAAGTTGGCCCAAACCTTCCGATACCATGCAGCTTCAGATACCCATTGAATGAGGTATTATCAGCCAACCTTGGTGCGCTCTAAACACTAGACACAATCACTGTTTAGACTGTGCAAAGCTGGGATCTTCACCTTTCTGGGACTCTTTTGTCTCTGCCCTGAAGCAGTACTGAGAGGGTTTTGGCCACAATGATGCTCTCCCAGGTGGGATTCCTATTCAGAGAACATCGTCATTCAAAGTTTGTCACATCTCCTTCACTCCAAAGAAAATAGGACCAACATCCAGTGCCCCAATCTCCTTCCTAGAACTCAATGTCCTGGAAACAAGGTTGTGTATCAGCTTCTGTAAATTCAAACCAGGAACGCTAGGCAGGCCTCAGGGCAGGAGGGACTAGAAACGTGACTTGCTGAAGAGACACCGAGACACCCACGACCACAGCAGCCACAGAGTGACAGTCTGCACAAACCTCACAATCCCAGATTCACCTCTGGGATCTGGGGCTTACACTAATGTCAACACGCTCACGTTACAGATGGTGAAGTGAACGTCCCATAGTTCGGTACCAGGTTCCCGATGGCGGAACCGGAACGTGACCTCCCCACACCTCCCAGGCTCGCTGTCTTCAGACACCCCCACCCACGTTCCCATCGCCACCTCGAACCTGAGCCCCCGTCCTGGGACATCTGGAACCGGCTTCTATACACCCTGCAGCGCCGTCCTCTGACGGAACCATCTGGAATCGTCTGGCAAGCGCGGCCCGGCCGCCCCTTCCCCGGCCCGGCCCAAGTCCGTGCTCGCGCCGCACGTCAGGCCCCGCCTGCCCAAGGCCCACGGCGCTTCTGCCTCCCAAGTGCCGGGAGACCGTCCCGCTCCCCAGGGCCCCGGAGGCCCGCGGGGCTCCTCTTTCACCCTCGCACCTACCTTCAGGGAGGCACAATCCAACCCCAGGATCTGAGGAGCAGCGCTGGGGCTTCTGCGGCATCCGGAATTTCCAGACAAAAGATGGCGGAGTGGGCGGAGCCGCACATGCGCAGAAGAAACCCAGAAAGCCCTTCCCGTAGTCCTGCGCAGATGTCATCGTTGCAGAGGGAAACTACATTTCCCAGAGGGCAGCGCGAGCGGAGCCGCTTGTGTAGAGAAGGAACTTGGAGCAGCTGTTTAGTGCGCCTGTGCTGTTGACGTTACTAGAGGGTGAGACTACATTTCCCCCAAGTTTCTGCGGTCAATCTCCAGGGACCAAAGGAGAAATTTTTGTTTATTTTCTCAGCAGGGATTCTTGCTACCAGGAGAACAGGACCTGATGGATAAAGACTGGCCTCTTTCCACGTTTTTATGAGGCAGAATTCTGATTCTTTATTAAATCCTGGTTTGACAACCTGAGGCATTGTGAGAATAACGGGGAAATTCTAATGTGGGCCAATGACCGCATGATATTAATAAGTAATTTTACTTTTCTAATTGTCATATAGGTGTTGCTATTACAAAACCCATGTTTATTTTTGCAGATGCATTTTAGA